GTAATACTCTCTGCATTTATATCGAATGTGAAGATTTGAAAAGTACATGAAAGTGAATCTTCTGTTTATGTTTTCTTTCTAAATTTTTTGTATGACTATACTAATAATATTGTAAAATATCAGACTGTGAAAATGAGTTAAAAAAAATGTTTGTACGGTAATCTGTAAATGAATTTTTGTTAGGTACATACTTTAGAAATTGTTCTTTCGTTCGTTATATTTTAGGAAGGCGTAGAAATATAGCTCTTTTTTTTTAAATATACAGGACATATATATATTTGTCCTGTAAGATTGAAAAATAAGTTTTTTGTGAAAATATTGAATACCTTCTTCTTAAATTGAGTTACAGTACGGCAAGCCTTTTCAGTTATCACAGACAGCATCACTGTGTCTTTGTAAAATTGTATTATTCCAACCCATTTCACAAGCATATTTCTGGAAATGACTTACGTTTTAATTGACATTGTAATTGCGAACCATTTAACTTGTTAGTGTATGAAGAACGGAGACTCGATGAATAACCGGTTATTGTTTTAATGAAACAATGATCGCGTTTAAAGGGGTAGAATCGCTTGTTCAACTGTGCATAAACTACAGATTTACATTTCGAAATGGACGATAATGAAATGGATGATAATCAAACGCTAATAAGACAATAAAACAGAATTAAAAACGTTTAATGAAATAGAACTAAAATAAAATTCAAAAATAAATTTTGTATTATATTATTTTTATTTCAGAAAATCTTAATATGATGTCAAGTCCATTATATACAACATCTATCTTGTTAGTTCTTATCGTGGGATTTGTTTTCGGAACAGAAAATTACATGGACTACGGAGGTATGTTAATTTAAAATGTAACTTAAAATTATAACTCCGAACAGAAAAGCCTAGTACTGGTCAATAACATGCTGACGTAGTGGAACTTTAATACTAGTTTAATCATGAATAAGCTGTATCATGTGTTCACATGCATTGTGCACATATTATCAATAAAATCTAACTTTGGTTTAATAATTTATATTTCGTGCAACAGCAATAATCTTAATCTATACAATAACGTTTGCGGAATATAATTACATATGAAATTTAGAAATTAATTATTAAGAAGGAAATTGTGGTGTTTTAAATCATTTTTCATAAATATATTTCTTCTTATTAATGTAATAATTTATGTATTTATAGATGAAATATCGGAAAAATCACCGGCAGAAAATATTCGCGAACTTTACAGTCTCCTAATGCAACGTAAAGCTTTCGATAATGTTGGATATGGCGATATTCCCTTAGAACATTTAATGATCCGTAAATCACAACGATCACCCTCTTTGCGACTACGATTCGGACGTTCGGATTCCCGATTAC